ATCACAGAGGCCGCGTCGGTCGGAGTGGGGAGGGAAGGGGGCCGTAGGCCAATCAGCGGGGAGCTGGGGGACGCTGAGCGGGGGCCGCTGGGGTGAGAGGGGTTCGAACCGGGGCCTTAAAGGGGAAAAGCGCGGCACGGGCGCTTTCCCTGTCCCGGGGCTGACGTGAGCCCGGGCTGCCCCGCCTCTTCCCGGCGCCGCCCCGGCGCTGATTTCACGCTCCGAGGTCTCCCTCTGGGATTGAGACCTCTCCCCTCACTGCCCCGCTCAGCACGGCGGCGTCTTCGCGCCTTGCACGGGGGCACTTGGCCAGAGGCTGGGGCGGGGCGCCGTAGCTGACGATCCTGTCTCAGCCATCCCCCAGCTCACCCCGTGAGCTGCGGCCCACGGGGTGTGCCATCAAGTGCTCTACCTGGACCACGAGTCTCCAGTTGGAAGGGCAGGCTGGGAGCTGCAGGCTTCAGGAAACGCACCTGACTGTTAAACACAGGGAGAAAGGAATAGAGAATTTAAAAAAAAAGTGTGTCTGTGTGTGCCCATGCATGCAGGTTTGTGCACATGCGTTTATGTAAATGCATCTCTGTGTGCATGCATGCGTGTGCATGTGCCCACACCTATATGCATCAGTACAAAGACATACACGGCATGTATATATGCACGTGGCATAAAAGGAGCAGGCAAGGCTGGTAGCAAGTCAAATGATCCCCCTAGGTATCTGTGATGTGGTCTCTTGTTCTTGGGTGGTTGCATGCAGTAGAGGGTTGGTTTCTTTAGTTGCTGCAAACATGACTTGCCTCATAAAGCATTTCTTCCTTTGGCATTACGGGATGAGGCCAGCTGTTTGGACTTTGCCCCCAGTAGGACTAATCGGACTCAGCAAAATTTACAGTTATACAAAATTGCCTGTACTTTGTCCATATGACAGAGTCCACCTTGGCTCTGAATGGCAGAGCCGTGACAATTTGTGAATGATTGATCCAAAGTTAGACTGCTGATGCCACCAGGGGGCTTCCTGGCATACCTGTAGTTTGGAAAATGCAGTTAAGAGAAGGTGTCCAAATCCCAGCCCTTTCAATTCATGTATTCAAAGTCAAGATCCATATGAGGATGGGTGGGTTAAGGGACAACACAAGAAGCCAGCAGCAACAAGAAACAGTTCTTCACACTTCCCTCCCCCCAGTTTCTAAGGCCAATTGACATTATCCTGGATTCCTCTCATTCTGACTTCAGACTAAGGCACTCCTAGCCGCTTTCATAGATAACATCTTTCTATCTGTGGACAGGTCCATACCTCCAGCCTCATTATTCTGAGCCTCTTTCTAGAGCTTGTAGGTAGTGTTACAAAACACTTTTGCACTGTTCCAAGTAGCTGTAGGAATAGATGATAAAGCTATGAAATGCTTTAGATTTCTCCTCAGAGACCAAACCCAGAGTCTGAGACAGGGAACTAATGCTCTGTTTCCAAAGCCTTCCATTCTGGAGCCTAGTCCCCACCTTACAACATTCAATGTCTACATGGAGCTGATGAGATACTGTAGCTTGAAGTGCCGCCATTACCCAGATGATATCCAATTCCATCTCTTCACGTCAACTATAAACAGCAGCGTCTCTCAGCTTCCTTACTGCCTAACTAAAGCTGAAACCATTCTGAATGCAACCATCCTGGGAGGGAGAAGGGAGTGCTACAAAGAGCTTGTCAGCTCTGTGGCATCCCCCCTGTTGTAATGCACCTTCCCTTGGGTTGTCATATGTGTCCTCAGCTGTGCATTCCTTTCAGATTTCATGGTACTATTGGTTATCAAATAGCTTGCTAGCAAATAACCCCAACATTTGATCCGTTGGATACTGAACTCAGCTAAAGATGCCCTTTCCAGTCCTACCTTCCTGTGTTCCCCCTATGACTGGTCAGGTAATAATGACTATCCTATAAGACAGACCTGGCTATAGGTCCATATGTTCCTCACCTTCAAGTGTGGCTATTGCAAGCCATGTCTAGACATAAAGCCTCAAATTCAGAGATAGTTGAAGTCTGTCCCTTTGGCCACCTTCTATGAACATCTTTCCCATGCACTGCTTTCTACAGTCACTGCCCAGTGAACAAAGTCTAGCTGAAGGTCTCTACTGTAATATTCAAAGTGCTCTAGGTAGCTCTCCTTTAGTGACCATGCTGTCCTTCTACAGCTATATTCCACGTGACAAGAAGTAAAAGCTCACTTACCAGAGTGCCCCTTGGGGTATCTAGAAACAATGGCCACAAAGTGACAGGGAGCAGATTTAGGTTGGACATCAAGACGGACTTCTTTATGGTAAGGGTTACCAGAATCTGAATGGGCTTCCAAGGTAGGTGGTGCTCTCCCCTACCCTGAAGGCCTTTAAGAGGAGACTGGACAAGCACCTGGCTGGGGTCATCTGATCCCAGTGCTCTTTCCTGCTCAGGGCAGAGGGTCAGACTCAATGATCTACTGAGGTCCCTTTGAACCCTAAAAATCTATGAAATCTATGAATGAAGGACCCAATTCTTACAGGTTCTGGCCCCAGGAGTTATAGGAATAACTACAGGCCTCATCACTCTCAGAATTAAATGTCAGACTCATTTCTTTAGTGGTGTGTTCCCTCACTAGCTTCTACAGGCATGCATATGCAGTCCTACAAATTCATCAGACTCCTTTTCTAACATGCCAAGGAAGAAAAGAAAGAGAGGGGCGGGCGTTTCTATTTAAAATACTTGGGAAGTGTTTGGCTACTTAGAAGACCTCTAAACATGGGATACACAAATCAGTGGCATAATGTCCTCATGGAAGTGGTGGGAGTCTTGACATTGGAGTCATCTGAGAATGGTTGGGACAAAACCCCACAAGATATACTGTGAAACAGACAGAAACAAGGAGAAACAAGAGGCCTTAACACTCTTCATTGTATATTGATTATTGATTATTTTCCCATGGGGAAGGGAATGGACCTTTCTGGAAAACTTGTTTGCTTCTACTTTAATCTATTTCTGATGTTCAATGGTAAACAGCACCCACCTGATTGTTTCTGGACAGTAATGCCTTGTCCCAAAATGATTGTGTTTCTTTCAGAATTAAGATCTTCTGAAAGGTGGGGTTTTTTAATTCATTTTTCTGGTGAAGTATGTCTTCATTGAACAAAATATAATGAATTTCTATAAGATGTGCCAGTACACTAAACAGGATATATTGTCATAATACATTTAATAATTGCATGATTGTATTGGGGTACCTGCAGAGAAAATCTAGAGGTCTCATGAGCCGTCTTTGTCTTTGGCATATCTTTAAGCTATAAGATCTGGGAGACTGCGAAGGCTCAAATTTGTACAAAAAGCCCAAGCCATTGAATGGAAACAGAAGAAACTTTACTGTATTTACTACCAGTCTCTTGCTGTAATTGTATCACATTAGTCAGTGTATGTACATGCTTCCCCTTTATGTCCTTTCACAGAGGATACCAGTCTTTAACAACTCAGCTATTTAGCTTAAGCTGTAGAGATTGATGATTTTGGCTTTGGTGGTCTTATATTCAGTACCTGTTGCTAGCCAAGGTGGAGACAATCTTGACAGCACACTCCTGAGTCTTTTCTCCAAAGGCCTAACTGGTAAGAAAATCAGAGTTATGTTGACTTTGCCGTGCAACACTTGTTCATCCATATTCTATACAGCCATGGGCAATTCAGAGCTGAAAAGGCAGATAACAGCAGACTCCTCTAGTATCTCTAAATGTGCAGGGGGCTATGGTAATACACCCACAAAACATGGCATAGATTGTAGAGTTCCCTACATATGCATCTCCATGTGTAGGAAGCTGATAAGTTGTTTTACCAAGTGAGAAGTCTAAATTTAAAAAAAGGGTACGATGAGAAAGCACATTTATGAATTGCGCCTTTTCTGGAATTGTAACTGATATAGACATAAAGGTTTACAGAAAAAGAATCCCAGATTTTTTAATCAAATACTCACAAGACTCACTTCATCCATTACTGAAACATGGTTGCTTCTGGTGTGAAACATGGAAGCTATTTATTGACTCACGTTCACCATTTGAAAGAATATAAGAGAAAAATGAACAAATACACCTCTAACTGAGCCTGAAGGGACACTCCTAAGGAAGCAGACTGTAATAAGCAGTGATGGATTATGGCTAGAATATAAAAGTCTGTTTATCTTGTAAAAAGTGCTGGGAGAAATGAATGACCTTTAGTAGTCGCTCTGTCCACCTTACCATGAAAAGCATAATGATCCTTCAGCACCAGCCTGGGGCACTGACTCAATGATACCCCAGAAAGGTGGCAAAGGATACAGTAAAAATGGGCCACATAATAGTCAGTCAAAGTCAATCAAGATTGTACTAGAAATCTTAGCCATATGTTTAAGTGGAC